ATTCCCCCTCCCCTTTAATTTAATTTGTCCTCTTTTAAAAGTAGATCATTAGGTGTCCCTTTACTTCAATGCAGGCTAGCAGTGGGAGCACAAAATAAACTTCACCATGGAGAAAAAATGCAGGAAGGGGCAGAATTCTCAAATGTACGCCAAGTCTCAGAGATGAGAAACATTATATTTTCATTGTGCATACAACAAACTGGCTCAATTACACAAAGGAAAGTGGTCCTGAAGAATCACTCATTTGCACACGCAAACTAGGATTGTCAATACTTTCATATGGAGTTTATTTTCACACACTTTTATTGAATTAATGCCAGGAACTGAATTTAAAATACCCATTCCTCCCCCATCAGCAGGTTCACTAGGGAACCTTGCTTCTTGTTGTTATTTCCCTGGCTCTGTCAGGTTTCGCTGATGTCATTCAGGGCTGGTTCCAGGTTTTGGGAGGCCCTGGGCAGACAGTTCCCAGGCCCCCCGTCCCTTCCCCTGCCCATCACCAAGCACTCATGTGCCAACATCCACCTGAAGGCCTCCCGCCTCCTGTGCCTCCTTACTCATTCTGCTCACAAGCCGTCCCACCACCCCTGCTCACAGCTGCCTTCAGAACTTTCCCCAGTGGCACACGGGCAGGGCCGGCAGCAGGGATCATGGGTGCGGCAGCGCTAGGCACTGAGTGGTTTGGGGGTGCTGGCCGGCAGCAGTGTACCCTGCCAGAAACCCCTGGCCCCAGCAGCTGCCCCACCTGAGGGTATGCCGACACCCATCCAAATGCCATGCTGCTCTTGCTTCACTTTCATCAGGGAGCAAGCACAATTTGCCCATAAACAAACAAAAAGGGAGGCGAGGGGTGAAGCAGATGAATCCAGGCAGAGAGCTTGGAGGTGCAGGGAAGGGAAGCTGTGAGCCCAGGGAGAGGGCACCAAACCCAGTTCAACCCTTTCATGGTCTCGCTGTCCTGGGGCACATTCGTATGACCAACTGAAGCCTAAATAGAGAAGAGACATTCCAGGGCTTAGCTCTTGATTACACTTGGGGTGCAGTCAGACGGCGTCTGGGAGTGGGTTAAACTGCTCCAGCTCCATGCGTGTTTTTTTTAACCTGGAGAATTGCGATCACACTCACCTCCTTGCTCCAGATTGCTCCGCAGCCACATTGCTCCCCGCCAGTTTTCTCTCTCTCTCAGTTTGGGCATGCGCACAGGCAGCCATCTGCAGAACAGCAATTTCCTCTTCAACCTGACTGCTGTAACGCTTCCCTTTAAACTTTAAAGGAACGCTTCCCTTTAAAAGTTTACCACCGAAAATGGTCTCCCTGAGATCCTGAACTCGTCTAAAGGCTAAAACTAGGCACCATTTAAACATTGTTTTTAATAACCCTTTGGCGGACCTCCGCCTATGCGCACACCGCCAACACTTTTTTTTTTTAATGCCGGTTAGAAAAAATATGAGGTCTTTGTACCACTTATACCTTCTCCAGAAAAAGTAACCCAGCCCACTTGTCTGGATATTAGACTCTTACAGTGCCAGTTTCCTGTAACTATTATGTTCTACCTCTATTATCTATTTGTTTTAGCAAAAACTTTGCCTGTAAGCTTGCCTGGAGCCTTGGGGTATGGAAGACCAGTCTTTCATTCTTGGGAGTAATCTGCTAAGGACACTTCATATTGAGGCTTCTGTATGGATAATAATCACTTTTACCTGTTGACTCGTACTCCATATTTGCTCTCATCGATGGCCAGGGCTTTGGGTTCTGTAAGGGAAGATCTTGTCTCACCAACCTGTTAGTGTTTATTGAGGGGGTGAACAAACATGTGGACAAGGGGCACTCACAATTTTAGATGAACCTTTCACCTTTTATCATGAGTGATTTAGTACAAAACTTTCAAAAGTGTTTTCCTGGTGGTTGGAGACACACTTTTATCTTACTTGGGGGGATTTTAAAGGATGGTTCCAGGTTTTGGGGGGCCCTGGGCAGACAGTTTCCAGAGCCCCCTCCTTTCCTCCTCTGCCCATCACCAGGCACGCAGGTCCTTCCACCCACCTGCACATTTCCCACCTACTTCCTCTGCTCATCACCAGGCACGCAGGCCCTTCCACCCACCTGCACATTTCCCACCTACCTTGTCTTCTTGCCCTGTCTGACCTTTCCCCAGAGGCACCAGGCAGGGCATGCAGGAGGGATTGTGGGTGCTGCAGTGCTAGCCAGTGACTGAGCAGGGGGTGCCAGATACCATGGGCCCAGTGGCTGCCCCACTGGAGGATATGCTGACACCGGCCATTTTGCCATTTTGCTGTTTTGTAATTTTCTCTTTCACATTTTCTTGCAAGTAGTCACTGGATCTTCTTGTTTCTTGGTGTATATGTTTTCTTTACATAATTGTATCTGCTTTCTGGAGAGACTTTCCATACATTGTCCTACTTAGTGGGCAGCTGCTTTCCCCCCTTTTGTGCTGTTGCACTTTCTTAATAGCTTATTTTGATGGGGGTATCTGAAAAAGCTGGATTACTTTTTCAGCCTTGATTCAAGCGCTGAATTGCTGGGTGGTACCTCAGGAGGAGGAGATCTACTCCACCACTACCATTCTGATCATAAGCCCTGCTTTTGCTTCTTCTTCATCAAGAGGTATGCACAGGTTGCACATAAACCAATGAAGAGAGAGTTAAGGGGGTGAAGCAAATGAATCCAGGCAGACAGCTAGGAGGTGCAGGGAAAGGAAGCTGTATGTCTGGGAAGAGGGCACCAAACCTAGCACGACTAAGGCCCCGGTCACACGGAGCATTAGCCACGCTAGAGGGACGGAAGATAGGTGGAGTTTCCAGGCGCGATCTCACCAGCACATCTGGGAAGCATCGGGCTTCCGTGGCGCAACCGAGGCTTCCCGCCGAAGACGCGCAGTAAAAAACTAGTACCTCGGAGGTACTAGTTTCCTGAAACCGCGGGGCAAGGGCGGGTGTCTGATCGCATTTCCAGAGGTAGTTCCGGCACCTGCCCATGTCCCCTCGGAAAAAGTGTTTTTTTCAAAGTCTCCACGGATGCGCACACGCAACCAAGGGAGCATGTGCACAATTGCGTTTTTTTAAAAAACAACCAACCCGTTTGCCCTGCGCCCCGCTTCTTTGCTGTGCCGCAGGACTGTGGAGTGATCGGCACCTCCCCCCTACCACGGGACCTCGATAGGTAGGTCTGCTCAAGCAACCACACGGTTTTTAGCCCCGGGGCTAACAGCCACGTTTCCCCCCCCCCCCGCAGTTTCCTGCCCGTGTGACCTAGGAAGGGTAGGTCCTGATGCAAACTCATTCTCATATATTCACACCAAACAGCAACAACACATTTATGATATCTCATTTCTTAGAACTGTTTATTTGATTATGAGACTTGAGATAAGAAAAGACACAGTTGTTAGACAAGAGGGGAAAAAACAGAAAACAGGAGACATTTAATGAAGGTCCACCATTCCCTGGTCTTGCTGTCATCAGCATCTGGGTTGGGTGAAGCTGAATCCAAGATGGAGCTGCCATCTTTCATTCTGGGACAGGTAGACGTGTTGAATTTCTACTGCCCCTCAGACATTACAGGACTGGAAAACTGGGAAGCGGGTGGCCAAAAGCTCGGGGAACAGCGTCCTGCCCCTCTAATACAGGCTTCAGGTGTGGAAATGAGCAGTTGAAGCTTTTCATGGCATGGACCTGAATAATACCCCCTAATATTCAATGTGGATGAAACCGATACTAAAGAAACCAATGTTCCCTCTAAGCTCCACAGTGTTGTGAGCAAAAATTCTACCTCATTAGCAAAAAAAAGCTAGCAGCATTTAAAGTTGTGAGCAAGCCTACATTTGACTATTGTGTAAATTAATTTTTGAAGATTATTTCCATAACTTTGTAAAGATCTCAGAATGAATTCTTTTCAACTATATGTAAGCTATATTTTAAGAATAATTTAAACATAAGAAAAAACAGAATCAAGTCAAATTTCATAACAGAAAATGTTGTTCTGTGCATGGGTAGGACAGGCCATTGGCCATTGGCAAACCTGTCCTCTGGAGAATAGGTCTACCCACCCCAGCACACTGTATTGGTAGACCTGGCCTCTAGAGAACAGGTCTACTCACCCCTTTCCACTATATTGGTCCAACTGGCCTCACACATCACCCTGTTCTGAGCCTTAGAAAACATACCAGCCCAGGGGAGGGGACCTCTTCCAGTCTACTTTGGTGGTGGTGGGGGGGGGTTAAGTGAATTATGACAACCAGCATTACAGGTCAAGTATAACAGAGGTGGAACAGTAACTGTCAGAACCCTGCCTAATCTATCAAACAGGAAGTTGCTTAAATGTTATCAGCCTGCCCAAATGACTTATTTATTCCAATATTTATATCCCACTTTTCCTTGTGACTCAAGGCAGCTTACAAATCATACTGGAAAGCATAATAGGGACGTGAAAAAAATGATTTTTCCCCCCAGTTCCATTGTAGCCTATGGGGATCATTATAGTCAATGGGCCCCTTAAGCTATATTGGAGAATAAGTCTGGGGGTACCTGGTGCTCAGGGGGGGGCTGTTTTTGAGGTAGAGGCACCAAATCTACAGCATGTATGCTGGTGCCTCTCCTCACCACGGGGTCCAATTCTATGGACTCCAGGAGGTGCCCCCATTCTCCATTGTTTCCAATGAAGGGGGGAAATGCCTTCTCAGTTCACTAGTGGGCTGAGGCAAAAATACCTGCACTGCTGGCTAAAATTTTGTGAGCCAGCACCCCCTAGCGCAGCTTAGAGGGAACTTTGCCAGCGAGAGACCAGTTTCAAAGGATCAACCCTACCTGCAAGAATTAAGAACAGGAGTCTTCTTTATCAATATGGCCTATCTGAACTGGTCATGTCTAAAGGGACTTTTTGGATTCTGCCTTTCTTTTTTTTAAAAAAAGCCTAAGGTGACACACATGGCTTTCCTCTTTCTGCTCACAACATCCTGTGTGGCAGCTTAGGTTGGCCCAAGGGCCTCCATTGAGTTTCACTACTGAGTGGTCGAACTTCCAACACTAACTGTCTCTTGCTTTGTTTTCTTTTGCTACAACACCTTTGTGGAGCTCTTCTTGGAAGGATGATTTTGAATCAATGACACCTGTCGTCTTAGCTTATATTTCCTCTCCCCTTTTCAGTTGTAGTGCTTGCTGGAGAAACCCTGTGAGTTCCCACCCACACTTGAGCCAGACTGAAGATACATCCGGTCCTTCACCCCAAAGCCGACTTCAGCTCCGCCAGTGAGCAGAAGGTTTAAACCAGTGCAGAAAGTACCCTCTGCGGCAAGGTACAGGGCAGCCAATGCCACTTCTTCTGGGGCCCCGAAATGTCCCAAAAGCTGTAAATGTGGAAAAGAAGAGAGATCCATTTAGAATTCTGCACTCACTGCATGTAAGGTAAGATCATGAGGTCTCAGAAGCTGAACCTGGTTGGGGCAGGACTTCCTGGGTGCAGAATTGGAACTTTCAATTTTTGTATGCACAGCCTTTCTTATTGTTACCATGTTAGATGTGGTAGACGTTGGGTTGCCAATCCCAGCTTCGGAGATGTAGAAGCAGTGCCTGGGGAAGGGAAAGTTTGGGGAGGGGAGGGGACCCGGCAGAGTTGCAGGGCTCTTTTTGTAGCAGGAGCTCCTTTGCATATTAGGCGACACCCCCCCTAATGTAGCCAATCCTCCAAGAGCTTAAAGTAGCCCCTGTAAGAAGAGCTCTGTAAGCTCTTGGAGGATTGGTTATATTAGGGGTGTGTGGCCTAATATGCAAAGGAGTTCCTGCTACAAAAAGAGCCTTGCGCGTTCTTCCATAGGAGAAATGGAAGTCTACAAGTATCCACCCTCTGCAGCCACTCTAGGACTTCGGTTTCTCCTACCCACCAGTAGGGCTGCCAAATGACCCCGGGGGGCGGAATTTCCCCCGCCTTTGAGCCCCGATTTCGACTCCCGCGGAATCGGGGCCCGGGGGAAAACCCATCCCCGTGTGTGCGGCACCTGGAAGTGATGTCGCATGCTGGGGGCGGGGCCACGCCATTTGAAGGGAAAACAAAGAGTTTCCCCCTAAAATGGCATGGCCCCGCCCCCAGCGTGTGATATCCCTTCCGGGTGCCGCGCGCGCACGAAAATGATTTGGCAACCCTACCCACCAGAGATGCTCTTTTCCCCCGGGGACTGTCATCTGGAGAATATTCATTCATTTAAAACTTTCATTAGCCACCTTTCTTCCTTATGGTGCTCGATGGCTTACCATCAGGCCCGTAGCTACGGTGGGGCTTTCCTGGACTCAGCCCCCTTCCTTAAAGGGACAGCCCCACAAGACTATCCCCCTAAAAATGTTTTTAAAAACTTTTAAAAAACACACCATTTTAAGGTGTGCGCTTCTGCACCGAGCCGCGTGCCAAGTACAGCCCTGACTAGCCCCACTGGAAAGAAGTTGCACAACTGAGCACAGCCTGGGGAAACCCTGATGATAAGCAGCTGCCAGGTCCCCCCTGTCCAATCACTCAGGAAGCTCGGTGGTTTTTCTGCGCATGTGGGAGTGCCACTGCTTCATGCATTTTTTACAGCCGCGTGCTGAGAGCGTAAGGAGGGGGAAACGCCACCAGCAATTCGGTTCAGGCATCATTTTGAACTACAGGAACAGTCCAGATTCCTCTTCCCTGCTGGGCTCAGTTCTTCCTATGGAGCCTTTTAAAGTCCCACTCATGAGAAGCATCTGCATTAAAGTGATCAACTTTGGCCCATTCTGCATCTAGCCTTCGCTCCGTTGTTTTACCAAACCCACACTGGAACGGGGAAAGATGCAGCTCAAAACCACATTCAAATACCCCGGGGGCCAACACCGTACTGACTGCAGAGTCACCCATGAACGGTCATAAAACGGCCATAAATCTATGCAGAGGTACCATTAAAACCCGATTATCAAGGGAACTGAAACTGGCATGCCGTCTGGAGGGTACCATAAAAACCCGATGATCAAATGAAGTGAAAGCAGCATGGAGTGCAGAGGGGAATTTCTGTTCCAACCTGGGTTTGCTTAAACAACGAAGGGAAAAGGCAACGCAGAATGGACCTTTGACTAGATCATGCCCCATTTCTGTCGGTCTACTGATAGACATGACCGGTTATGTTTGTGCCCGTGAGCTGTAGCTGGGGCAAGTATTGTTCAATCTCATGCCGGGGAAGAGGTAATTCTGTTTTCTATTTTCACATTCCGTTACTGCTAAATCACCCTCCCAGAATAACCTTCACTTTTACGCTCTCTCCACCTTGTTCTCCTCCCCAAGCCTCATTAGTGTCCTCAGTTTTCTCCCCCCCCCATTAGATCTGAATCCTGTCAGTCAAGGATCCAAAAACTCACTTTCCTAGGCTCCTGACTACTTGGGATTGCAGCTTCCGATCCGATACATTTACTTACAAGGGAGTCTCACTGAAAGCACGGTGATCTTCTTCTTAGTAAGAAGAAGAGTCTATTTGGTCCAGGCTCCCAACAGGGCAAAGTGTGCCCCCTGGATATATTTTAGGTTCGAAAAATGGTGCAGGGAGGGAAGCTGAAGTCACTCTTCTCCCCACACCTTGGTCCCGATCCGACCAGATTTCTTCTCCATGCATTTTGCACACAAACCCCAAATTCTTTTGGTTGAAGCCCCCTTAAACATTTAAAAGCCCCCCCCCATTCCTGGCTATGGGCCTGCTTACGATATAGACAAAATACATAATATAGAATACATAGAATACAAAAAACCCTCAGAAAATCAAAAATCACATTTTAGGCCTGCAAGTAACATAATCAAATGCAGTCTCCAAATACCTCCTAAAGACTGAGAGTGAGGGGGCCGGGCACACCTCCCTGGGGAGGAGGTTATTCTAGAATTGTGGGGCTGCCACTGAAAAGGCCCTGTCTTGTGTACACACCAGTGGAGCTCCTTTGATTGATGGGACAGTAAGGAGAGCCTCTCCCTGTGATCTTGATTCCCAGGCAGGAACATATGGAAGGAGATTCTCCAGTCGCAAGCCAGAAGAGCTTTGAAGCTCAAAAACAACACTTTGAACTGGGCTTGGCAGAGGACTGGTAGACAGTGTAAATGCTGTAGTATTGGGATGTCATGATCCGGATCCTGGTCCCAACCAGAAGTCTTCCCACTTTGTCCTGCACTAGCTGGAGCTTCTGGACACTCTGCCCCGAGCCGAGCCCAGAGTACATGTAATGAAGGCATGCATCATTGTGGCTAAGAGCTGACTGAACCAGCAAAAGATGCAGCTAATGCACCTGCCAAAGCCAGGAAAAGCACCCTGAACCACCTCGGTTGCCTAGTTTTTGAAAGTGACTGCTGTGTTGAGTAGCACTCCCAAGCTGTGAAACTGGCTTTTCAAGGGGAGAATAGCCCCCTCCAAGACAGGAGAGATCTGAAGGCACTGGTCTACCTTTCTACTAACCCAGAGAACCTCTGTCTTGTCAGGATTAACTTTCAGCTTGTTCACCCTCATCCAGCCCATTACAAATTCCAAGCACTGGTTCAGAAGATCAACAGCATCTTCAGAATTAGGTCAGAAAGAAAGGTAGTGCTGGATATCATCCCCATATTGATAATACCGCAGCTCTAACTTCCTTATTACCTGTCCCGGCACAGCATGGGGGATACGATTGAGGTCTCTGGAACCCCACAGGCCAATGGTCATGGGACTGGGTAAAAATCCCCACCTTCTGAGACTGACCCCCTCCTCCCTGGACTAGTACTAGAACTCCCATAATATGGACTCTCCAAGTCTTAGTGCTTACAGGGAGCTCAGTAGGAAACTATGATTGATAGTACTGAAGACTGTTGAATGATTCAGGAGGACATGCCACCTGTCTGTTACTTGATAGCAGGGGTCGTTTCATAGAAAAAGAGCTGAATGATTCAGGAGGACATTCCACCTGTCTGTTACTTGATAGAGGTCGTCAACCAAGGCAGCCAAAGCAGTCTCTGTTCCAAATCCTGACCTGAAGCCAGTTTGAAATGATTCAGCGAAAGTAGTCTCTGTTCCAAATCATGACCTGAAGAAAATCCACCTGCCCAAACACCTTGATCAAGTATGGAAGATTGGAGACTGGCCAGAAGTTCTCCAACATAGTGAACATAGAGTTGTCATTCAGGAAGAACTTCAGGCTCCGCCTAGAAAATGGCAACCTTAAGGAGAACCATTCATCTACAGAAGCACCATTCCTGTTCCCCTACAGCACACTTGCCGAAGTATGGGTGGCTTCCTCCATTGCCGCTTCTGGATTCCGTGACTGATTTATAAACTTTTTCATCAAAGTAGTCCAGATATATCCTGGTGAGATGCTAGGATTGAAAATGTTTGGAAATTAAAAAGGGGCAGGGGTACCATGAAGCATCAAGAAATATGTCCCCTAGTGAATGAGTTCTGAAGAAGTGTCTTTCTTATTATCACTAGAAAAATATCAAATTCCAAGACATAACAAACTGATTCACCCCACAATCCTTGGCATGACTATTCATTTATACATCCCAGGAAAATACAGCATGAAATGCAGGTTCTGATATTTCAGCCCACAGGGCACTGCATCGCACAATAAAAATGAGAAGAAAAAGGAGTAGCAAAAAAATCCATTTTTAAATCTATTTTTAAAAGGACCTGAGGGTTAGTGGCAGAAGCTGAGGGCCTGCAAGGAATCACCGGGGGGCTGTACAACTTGAAAGTAATATCTCCCTCACCAAATCTCCTCCTCCAAGATTCTGTAAGCTCTTAGGGGAAGGACTTAAGGTTGACAACTTCTCCCCGTGCCCCATTTTCTTCCTTAACCGACTCTAACTGGCTCTAACCGACATTCTGGGCTTCCCGGAGCAGATTGGGTTCTCTTTCAAGATGGCTTTTCCCCTCAGTGTCTTATTTTTCTTCTAGTTACTTGACAAAGCTTTTACTTTTCCACATACCTGGGGGAGATCCATTAATAAGGAGACACCACTACCTTCTCTATCTGCAGGTGCACTGGTTTTGGTATCTAGGGTGGCCAATGTCCAGTTGGCACCTGGAGATCTCCCACTGTTACACTTGATCTCCAGATGACCAGGATCAGTCCCCCTGAAGAAAATGGCTGCTTATTTATTTATTTATTTATTTATTTACTCTCGTAAATTTATATCCCACCCTCTCCGTGAGCGGGCTCAGGGCGGGTTACAAGGTCGCAAAGGATCGTGACAGTAGCCATAAAAGAGCATAAAATCAGAAAATTAGAAACATTTTGAATTTTAAAGCAATACTGAGAAGAGAAGGAGAAGAAATTGGATTTATACCCCGCCCTTCACTACCCAAAGGAGTCTCAGAGTGGCTTACAAACTTCTTTCCCTTCCCCTCCCCACAACAGACACCCTGTGAGTTAGGCGGGGCCGAGAGAGCTCTGACAGAAACTGCTCTTTTTCAAGAACAGCTCTTATCAGAACTACAGTTTGCCCAAGGTCATCCAGCAGGTGCAAGTGGAGGAGTGGGGAATCAAACCCGGTTCTCCCAGATTAGAGACAGCACTCCAAACCACTACACCAAACTAATGTGAGAACTAACTCCATAGTGACACTCATATAGGATCTTCTAGGCAGAGTTGGCTACTGACCATAAGGACAGGGCTGTCAGCAGCGGGAGGCCAAAGACGGAGACGAATCAGGTTCCTGCTGCGCTACTGAGGTCCCTCCTCAGACTCCACCCCCAAAATCTCCAGGTATTTCCCAGTCCAGAGCTGGTGGCCACCCTAGTGGTATCACAAATGCTGATGTGCACTATTATATTTAAAGATACTTCCAATGCACGGCCTTAAGGAAAACCATATTATTCCAGTAGATTTGAAAATAATGGGATTCATTTCCTACATTTGAATTCAAGAAGATATATTTTGTGCCTCGTCCATTTTTTGTGTTTCTGTGTGGAAACCAGTTATACCTTCTCCAGTAAAGTAACCTAGCCCATTTGTCAGGATATTAGACTCTTACAGCGCCAGTTCCCTGTTAGTATTATGTTCTCCCTCTAGTATCTCTTTACTTGTTTTAGCAAAAACTTTGTTTGTAAGCTCCAGGCGTTGAGGTACGGAGGACCTGTCTTTCGTTCCTGAGAGTATTCTGCAAGGGACACTACATATCAAAGGTTCTGTATGGATACTAATTATTTTTACCTGTTGACTCGGACTCCATATTTGCTCTCATCGATGGCCAGGGCTTTGGTCATTCCAATGATAGCAGCCTGGAAGAGAAATGCACAATTGATCAGAAATGGCTTGGCCTCCTCCTGTCACAGCCTGATATGCATTAAAGATTTTTTTGTTATGGACATAAATAATGCCTACAATGGGAATAAATAATGCCGCCTAACTTCTATTAAAAGACAAGCGATTATTCTCAAGGCCTTTCAGCAATCCTCGGCGAAGACACAATACAGGAAAAAGCAATGCACAGTGCCTTACAGTAGTCTAGCCTCATAGTGAAGACAGGATGGGTTCCCTGAATGTTGACTTTCAGCACCTGAGTTGTCACCCTCCGCCAAAAAGATCTTTTCCCTCTGGACAAGAGAAACAGGGGTAGGGAGGCTGTCATTCCTCGGTGGGGGGGGGCAGTTTGGCCCTAGATATCCTAGTCTGATCCCTTGCCCAGGAAAAGGATATAGGGAACCCTGTACATATATTTATTTATTTATTTATTCGATTTGTTATCCCGCCCTAACCCCTAAGGGTCTCTGGGCGGCTTACAGAGAGTGCTAATCACATTTACAGAATCTAACCTAGGGCCACAGATATACAGGGGTGGTGACAACCCTACCAGTCACCTTTAACATTCCTGTGAAGCCTCTGTTTATGGGAGAGGGCTTTTCATTTTCTCTAGGTGGATGGCAAACTTACTTGGGGTCCTCATGTAAGGGAGAAATATGCAGGATGATAATGAGAAGAAAGCAAATGAACGTTCCATGAAACCTTCACTGGTTACAGGCTGGTTTTAGACTCATCTATGAAAATTAATAACTGACCTGAAAGAATAACAACCCAGCCTCCTCCCGTGCCTTTAGGAGCAACCTGATCTACAAGATCCCGCAAGTGGAGTTTTTCAAAGCACGGAGAGTAGAGACACTATCACTGGCCACCTACATGCTGTGCAGACCTTCATCGTCTACAAGATCCCGCAGGTGGAGTTTTTCAAAGCACGGAGAGTATCACCGGCCACCTACATGCTGTGCAGACCTTCATCTGCCAGACGAGCTGCTTTTAAAGGCTCAAGAGCAGAAGCATTAAAACAAAAAAGGATTCTGTCCTTGGATCAGGATTACCTTGCTTGCTGCATATGACACACTATGCTTCGCCCCAATGACACCAAAAATACTGGCAATGTTGATGATGTTTCCTTTCGTTTCCCGTAAGTAGGGCAGTGCATACTGGACACAAAAGAGAAACAGAAACAGTGTTCTCAAGCCAGAAACGTATAAAGCTGCCAAGGTTTAGGCTGTGAACAGACGAGCTGTTTGATCTGAAGTTGTACCTGTTCCCTTCTGGATTTACGTAAAATGCACCATCAGACACATTGTATCCTGTTTCCCAGTCGCCAGTGTCTCTGTCTCTCTCTGTCTGTCTGTCTCCCTCTCTCTCTGTCTCTCTCTCTGTCTCTCACTGCTCTTATAGCTATAGCCTTACTTGATCTTCTTCTTCTTCTGTTTAATTATTGCCCCTAAAATTTTTGCCACAGAAAAGAGTAACAGAATCATTTGTATCTGATAATAACCATGTCGCCTGTGCCATTATACTATCAGGTGCCTCCTTAGACCTTTCCATCATCCCGGAATCGGTGTTTAATGATACCAGACAAAGTCCGAGGCTTATGAATTGTCTGGTTTCTGGATGTTGGAACTCTCCACAATGGCCTCAAGCTAGAAGGGAAGTCTGAACCTTCCATTTTTACTCTTTAAAAAAATCAGTCAGCGATATGCATATAAGTGGATTGTGAGGCACCGCTTGTGCATTTATGCACAATTTTTGTTGGGATCGGGAACCCCCAGGAGGCAGTTGTTTTTGAGCAACACATTCAAGGGGGAAACCCTCCTTTCTGCTATTTCTTAGGGTGGGAAAATAGTCCCTATTTAGGCTTCCATATCGGCAGCCAGGATTCTGTCCCTGAAACTTTACTCCAGTCCAAGCCACTTCATAACATTGCTCTGGTGGGAAAGCTCTATGGGGAGAGAAAAAGGGAAAACTTCCCCATTAAATGAGTGGGAAAGGGAATAAGATCAGGCAGGAAAGGGAGTGATTTCTGGTGGAGAAATATAGTTGTATAGGAATCAATGATCATGGAGCTGTCAAAAAGGAGCAGTGCTTTGAATAAGTGCTTCTGCACATGCCCAGAAAACAATTTTTTTAAGCGATGCCGCCCAAGCACCTGCTCCATGGTTACCATGCAGCAGTAATCTGAACAGTCGAGCACGGGAGGAGTGCGTTGTGAGACAGGATAAGAATGGCGTGTTTGGACAAAACTCTCTGGAACAAATAACACCAGATAAATTAGAGGTGTGGCCAGACTGTGCTAAGCCTGATGTCTGACCACCTTAGAATTGTCCATTGGCAGAGACTCGTCCCAGCACAGATGGCAGAAATCCTTGCAAATGGAGATGACGGGGATGAACCCTTTGGGTGCAAACCTGGTCCCCAGCTGTGGAGCCAAGTTCCTGTCTGCATGGTTCTGATTTGGGTAAGAGAGCACTGTACTTCTCAGTACCCTTCCAGGTTTTTTCCGGTGGACTTTCAACTCCAGATGAAGCCAGCTGGAAACACTCACCTTGGATGTTAACAAACAGCTCACAGTGTTAATTTCCATGAGGTTGTAGAAGTCTTGGGCGCACGTTTCATCTATAGTTTTGAAATTACCTGTTTGCAAGAAGATTTTAAATGGAGTTGGGTTTCACAGAGGCAAGACACACAAATAAGCCACACAATATTTGGCTTATTTTACTATTATCTAGATTAATATTCTATCCAAGGACTAGTGGGAATGATTCTATGGAACCTGATGTATTTACTAAATATTGGATATTATCCCTTTCTTTTTGGAATGAAAACATATATGACAAGATATACCCATTTGCTTATTAAGATTTCTTGTAAAATGACTGGGGAATTTGTTTGTTTGTTTTTGTATGTATGTACTGAGTGTATGTTTGCATTAAAACAATAATTTAAAGTGAAATAAAAATGTAGCTTTTTTAGGAGACTGTAATGTCTTTAGTTTTTTTTATAAACAGCCACCTGCAAAGTTATACTTCCTCAAACCCTCGAGTGAACAGGTTTGTTCTGGCTTATGAATAAACAGGAAATGACCTCACATCCAGACACAAACATCCCAGTGATTCTTACCAGGACCCAAAAATTTGAACGTAACTCACTAGTTCCAACAGTGTTCACCAGGCAGTCCAGGCATCCGTAACGTTCTAAAGTGACCCGAATCAGCCTCTGCAGGAACAAAGATGAAGAGACATCTAAGGCAGGGCAAGGATTAACAACAGAATCGAGAATGCTGCCATTCCAGAGCTGCAAGCGACCATCAGTACTCAAGACCAGTGTTCCCTCTAAGCTGAGTTAGTGTGAGCTGCCTCACAGTTTTTTAGCCTCTGGCTCACATATTTTTGTCTTCGCTCAGGGAGGACGGCTCCAGAGCAAATTAATTTATGCAGCAGCCAAATCGCTGGCTCACAACTCTGATGCCAGGAGCTACAAAGTAGAATATTTGCTCGCAAGACTCCACAGCTTAGAGGGAACATTGCTCAGGACGTCACCTGTTCCAGGTGTTGGGAGCAAGACAGAGAAGGGTGGGCAGCAAAGGAGCCTGGGGGGGAGGATAGGGCTCCTGTGTGGGTTGGGGGACGAGGCCTGATCCAGCCTGGGGAGGGGGTTGCTCAGGCATTTGGCTGTTGAGGGTCTTTGAACCATGAGCTGCCTCCTGTCAGAATACAGAAATGAAAGGAAAGACCCTGAAGGGGTCAGCAAGTTCTAGCTAGAGAGGACTGTAGGAGGAAGTGCCTTCTTTTTTACAAAGGGGCTTCTCTTTGTCGATCTGCAGAATAGTCTTCTTAGGCTTTCCTTCTGAAACAGTCTAGAACTCTCTGTCTCTCACCTAGCAAGGCAGCTAGGGTAACATCCTCTGTTTCCGATCCACTTTATTCGTTTCACAAATAAAGCATTCTTTACTCTTACTCAGTTCAGTGTCCTGACTGCTGCATAGGCACTCTGCTATAACACCTCCAGCCTGACTGAGCCCAGAGTCAAGGAGGCAATGTTTGTGCTCATCTTCTGAGCCTTGCCTGTTTTCAGACTCTAGGGCCTGCTCTGACAGTGAGGAGGACCTGAAGCTTAAAGCTGATGGAGACATTAAGTGGAACCCCAGGACAAGGACTTATGCAGAGAAGAGTCACATGACACCATAGGTGATAAGCATATAAGCATAAATCAAGGGGAAAGGCCTAGCAGAACAGTGTTATGGCCATTTAGACACCTGAGAATTAGGATATAGGGCAGTGATGGCGAACCTTTTAGAGTAGGGCTGCCAAATCCCCCCGGGGGGCGGATTTCCCCCCGCTTTCGATGCCCAATTTCTGCCCCCGCTGAATCGGGGCCCGGGGGAAACCCCACCCCCGCTTGCATGTCACCCGGATGTGACGTCGCACGCTGGGGCGGGGCCACAGCCATTTGAGGGGAAAACTCTATGTTTTCCCCTCAAATGGCTGTGGCCCCGCCCCCAGCGTGCGACGTCACATCCGGGTGACATGCAAGCGGGGGTGGGGTTTCCCCCGGGCCCCGATTCAGCGGGGGCAGAAATTGGGCGCTTCGTGCACACGCACACCGGGAGCTCCCAGGGAGTCCCCCGCCAAGGAAGTAAGTAGCATTTGGCAACCCTATTTTAGAGACCGAGTGCCCAAACTGCAACCCAAAACCCACTTATTTATCGCAAAGTGCCAACACGACAATTTAACTTGAATACTGAGGTTGTATTTTAGAAAAAACAACTCATACATTAACTTAAGATGATCCAAACAAAGTAAGGAAAGCAATCCCAAATGCTTTCATTTACTTAAAATTAGTTGGCAGAGAATTCGACACTTTAATGATGGTCTGGGCCTGGCTGGGGCGATGGCACGCATGCCCACAGAGAGGGCTCTGAGTGCCACCTCTGGCACCCTTGCCATAGGTTCGCCACCACTGATATAGGGAATGGTTTTAATGGGTTCAAAGATGAAAGGACCTTTCTTGGAAATGCTGAATAAGAACCCCCAAAGAAGTACACCTCTTCACCCAGTTTCAGCCTACCTTGATGTCTGACTCATTGCGGACATCACAGATCTGGTACAAAGCATCCCCAGGGCACCCAGAAGCCTGCAGGTCCCTCTGAATTGCTCGTCCATTTTGCGCTGCAAGGGGGAAGAACAGAAGAGTTGCCGGCAAGACAAACCTTCTAACCCTGCCTTTTCTGTGCAGCCTCTGCCTTATCTTCCTTTCCACTTGTTCCCAGTTTCTAAGTACACACAAACAGGTTTGCTAAATGCATTGAAGACTGTTGCTCCTCTCCCTTTGGTGGTTTTCTCCATCTGGAGGAAGGCAAGCAAAAAGACCTGCAAACTAAACAAACGCATTCTGTTTTAAATGGGGAAACAAACTCCTTGGGCAGGCAGGTCCAGCCTACTGTTGCCTACAGGAACACAGGAAGACAAAGAATTTAATGACTGACCAGTATACAGATCATCTGCAGCCAAAAAAGGTCTGATGATCCCATTTTCCATTATGTGCATATTCCTCTCACTGTATTTGGAACATTCTACTCAACGGTGAATATACCTTAAATTTCTTACCAGTGTTCTCTCTTGCAGGGCCTGAAGCAGCTCTGGCCATGATCTTATCCCTCCAGCTTACTTTCATCTCTGACTCTACTACTCTAAATCTCATATTTTCTTCATATTTGCTAACCGGAGATACTGGAAGCAAAGGAGTAAAGGGCCAGACACAGGAATCCTACTTCCCCTGTGCTGAAAGATCTGCACCGGCTACACATCTGTTCTTGGCATCCACAGTGTTGGTTCTCATCTTCAAGGCGGTCAATGGCTTGGAACCGGATTCCTTGAAGAACCCCCTGCTCTGTGTACCTACAGAGGTGATGTGGGTGATAGTGAGGCCCCTGACCCCTCCTTCCACTGAGACCCTAGAATTTCATTCCCATCTGGTATTGCCTGTTTTGAAGGGAACCCCCTTGAAAGTGTAAATGCTGTGGTGCCTTGAAAATGAATCTCAAAAATACAACTGATCTGCCATGACCAAGGTAAATTCTATTACAGAGGAAGGGTGTCACCCGTGACATGGAAGCGTGCTCTTATTATCCCTATCTTTAAGAAGAGCGATAGATCAGACCCGAGTAACTACGGGCCAATTAGTTTACTTCCTGTAATCTGTAAACTATATACATCTGTATTACAAGCCAACTGACTCAGTTTATTCTGAATCTGTGATAAGTTTAGAGCAAGCAGGCTTCACACAGGAAGCATCGGCTATAGGTCACTGTATTGTTCTATACCACCTAGCAGAAAAATATACTTGCTATACTGGAGGAAAGCTATGTGTCACCTTTATGGACTTGAAATCTGCATTTGATTCAATCCCTAGGACTCGTTTGTGGAAAAAACTCAAGAAAACCACAACTGATCACAGATTGTTATGGAAAATTCAGATTCTATAAGATAATCCAACTGGCCAGGTTAGATGCAAGATAGAAGGACAACTTACGAGGATATTCACGATGAGATCTGGTGTTAAGCAGGGATGCCAGATGGCTACGCGCATCTTTAATTTGTATCTAAATGGTATAGCACCTGCCCTTAAACAAGACAAATACCACCTGCTAAAACTCGGAGTTTATTACTTTACGCTGATGATGCAGTTTTATTGTGATCCCCTATTGGCCTTCGAAGGTTAATATGATCTTTCTCAAACTATTGTTGGGAGCATGATCTCACAATCAATGTTGTAACGTCAAACTCTTAGTTTTTACAAAACAGAGAAGAGATTCTAGCTACAAACGGAGATTAGAGGATAACAAGTTGGAGCAGGTTAGATCTTTCAAGTATCTAGGAGTAACCTTTGATGATTACTTATCTTGGAGACCCCAATATAAGGCTGTTATGGCATCAGCAGCTTGCTCCGCGGAAGCAATAAAGCGCTTCTTTTATAGAAAAGTTGGACAACACCTGCCAGCTGCAATTACAGTTTTCAACACCAAGGTGATACCTCAAATATTGTCTGGCACAGCAGTCTGGATCCATAGAACAGATGAAACTATAGACCAGTCGTTGACACAGTTCTTACATCAGATCTGTGGGATACCCAATTATGTAGTAGGCACTGCCCTCAGATTAGAAGTGGGCCAACACTCCATCGAAGCTAGAGCCTGGGTCTTGACTCCGAACATGACTCTTAAAATAGTTTGTTTTCAGAGAACAGCAGCCTCCTGTTCTATATGAAGCATGATAATTTCTCCGGTGTGTGGGAACAAGCAATAGAAGGAAAATTGAATGTCATGCTGTCTCCAGAAAATATCACTGCTGCTCTAGGACAGCCTTCAGCTTGTAAAATCATCAAAAAAATAATTATGAGGATAGACGTAAACAGCACTATATGCAGAGCTAGGAGGGTTTGTTCTTCCCTTTATATGGGGATTCCTCCAAGCTTCACAATCCCTATGTCTTTGTTCAGCTTAACAGTTCCAAAGAATAGACAAGCAATTATGCTTTCAATTCTACACGCACGACCCTCTGCAGTCTCCAAAGGTCGCATGCTAGGTATACCTTTCTCAAATCAATATTGTGGCAGTGGCTTGGGTGTTATCAAATCTATAAGCCATGTTTTATTTGAATGCCCCGATACAACAATGAAAGACAAAAAAAAATGGATTAAACCTCTGATACTACAGTGGCCAGAGTCTTCAGCTGATATTTTAGTTCCTAAGTTATTAGCAGATTTGCAGATCTGAGAGTAGAAAATTTACTCATTGTAGCAAAATTTTTAGTTCAGACCATGAGAATTCGAGCAACATACAATAGCTGTTTTGTAGCTTATGTATTAACCCTCTCACACCTGAATTCTTCCTTTCTTCCTCATATTCCCAGCTATGTTTAACAAATACCACTTAAAACCTATAGGTCAGAGGAGTAGAGTAAGAAAGAAAGAAAAATAAAGATTTTATTAAGCTTTACTTTGTAAGCTGCCTCGAGAAAGATCTCTGTCAAGGTGGCAAGTTCCTTTTAAAAACAAAGAAGGGGACCCTGCCATGATGGAAGGGAGTATAAAAGGTGCTCTAGACTCACCTCCGGAGGCTCGTGAACAGAAGACCACATTGGCTCCCTGGCGAACTGGAGGGCGAAGAGAGAAAGGAACACAAGACAAAACTCAGGGGCTTGGCTCACTCACAGATCTACAGCACTAGATGTTTAAAAGACTCCATTCCTGCCTCCCCCCATCCCCTATTTAGGTCCTCAAAGAACATCAGAAAACTTCAGAGGAGGGATTTCCATCTCAGGAGGGGTAGCCTTCAACAGGCAGATCTCCTTGTCCAGGACAAACTCTCTCTGATGATGGGAGCAGAAGATCCCTCCCCCCCAAGTCCTCCATGAAGGCCCTTTCAGGGGGGCAGCTGTGGTGGTCTGCAGCAAAACAAGATTTGATTCCAGGAGCAGCTGAAAGGCCAACAACTCCAGCTGTCTTCAAACACAGCCATGGGCCTTTTTGGCCCTGGCTCCTGTCTGGTGGAACTCTCTGCCTGGAGACATCCGCACCCCGTGGGACCTTGTACAGCTCCACAGGGAATGCAAAACAGATGTTCCACCAGGCTTCCGGCTGAGGACAGCAACAGTTTCTCCATCTCATCTGGCCCATGACCCTGCTCCTTGAAGGCAGGCGACCACATACAGAACGCCATCTAAGAATGAGGGTTAATCGTTTTACGAATTTTGTTGGTAATTGTGATTGATTGTTGGTTTTATACTGATTAACTTATGTATTGTTACTGGGGAAGGGCAGTTTATAAATTCAATAAGTAAAAATAGTAATAAGATCTCCAGGATAGAAGCTTTCGAGAGACAAAGCTCTGTAAATTGTCAGATATCTGACTATGTAACGTCAGACATACCCTGGAAACCTTGCTTCTCTTTGAGGTGGTTCTGCACTCAGATCTTGTTGCACCAGAGCCCAGAGACCCAGACTTACTTTAGAAATATGGGACACCCAGTGCCTCTGTCCCCAGGCTTGCAGTGTTAGTATCAGTCAGAATGGCCACCTTGTATTCTGGCAGCCTGCTTCAAGAGCTTTACAACAGGTTGAAATTCAGCAGGTGCACCGGCTATGAAAACAGGAACTGCCCACCCCACCCCTTCGCAGAATCTCTTCAACAGCTAGTAGTGATAGTTCTTGTAACCTGTTTTCCACACAAGGAATCTGTTCTGGAACACACAGACCTATTATTTTTGATAACCTAAGAAACATAACATAAGAAAGAGTCATGGGACGCCAAAGGCAAATGAAAAGCCTCTAGTCCGCAAGAATTTCTGCCAGAAGGTATTGCTTCATGAGTCCTTTTTGTGTTAGCGGGACAGACAAAAATGCCTCTGAGGACAGAAAGAGGACATTTCCCTCCCTCCCAATCTCCCTCCATCCCAGATTAGAGATGTAGGAAGTGAGGCTTCCTAAATCCTTCTGGCAGGCTCGAAACTGGCCCCTGTGGGCAGACATTGCCCACTGCTCCATCTCCACTTCTCCCCATTCTCACCAAATTCTCGCACGATGGCCAGACCGGTGCCTGAGGTGCCACCAGTCACAATCACCACCTTGCCCGGGTAACGCAGACAAGTTGCCATGCCAGCTGTTTGCCTCTGTTTCTCTGAATGACTAATATCCACGTAGAGCTTTGCCTATATAGGCTCTTGGGTGGAGCAGTGCAGCTACTTAATTGGTTGGGAGGAGTGTCCATGGCTAGTCTGCTCACTGTGGGTTGTGGAGCATGAGGGTTGGTCCTTTCTGAACTGGGAGAAGAATAATGGCTGGCGGCGTGCATTTGAGTTTTCCGCTCAAATGGCTGTGCCCCGCCCCCAGCGTGCATGTGGGGGTTCCCCCGGGGCCCGATTCCACGGGGGTGGAAATCAAACCTCCAAAGCGGGGGAAATCCGCCCCCCGGGGGGATTTGGCAGACCTAATCCCCTGCTGCATTGCATGCTGCTTTCACTTTCTTTGATCATTGGATTTGATGGTACCCACTACCCTCTAGATGTCATTTCGCTTTTGCTTTCTTTGATCATTGGGTTTTATGGTACCTTCTGCATAGATTCATGGCCGTTCAGGGGTGCCTTTGCAGTCAGTACGGCATTGCCCTGAGGTATTTGAATATGGTTTTGAGCTGCACCTTTCCCTCAGTGCTGAGAAAATGTGGAGCAAAAATGCTGGATGTAGAATTGCCCTTTGTCAACCTTCTTGGTTACCTGTTTTTTCTGGGCTGAAGTTTCTTCCGCTTTCTGTTTTGGTCTCTGAGGTGCTCCTGGCCTGGACTCGAGCTGTTCTTCTACAGAACAAGCAGAAACCAAGGGGAAAAAAACACTGAACCTAACAATAAACTCCAAAACCAAACAAAGGTTAGTGAAAAGGAGGGCCAATATTAAAACCTTTCCATAAAAAATAAAAAGAGGTACATGTATTTATTAATAATAACAATTTTAAAACATATATAGAGGCCCATTTGCAACCAATATATAAAATATAACAATATCCAGGGCTTACAAAGTTGACCTTACGCGTTTCGGGCAAATAAAACTTCTTCAGAGGTCATACATAAGTGGCGAGATAATTATATTTACATAAACACAATCAATAATATATACAAAGTATAGAGTCAATGAGGACCATAAAGCAGATTGTTCAAATGTAAAATCACCAGGCACAAAGTAAATATGCACATAAGGCCTTTAAAGTGCAATCACTAGCACAGTGATTATAAATTTGTGGTCCAAAAATGTCCTTCTTTGATTGTGTTGCCACAGCATTCATAAGTCCTGAGGTGCTCCTGGCCTGGACTCGAGCTGTTCTTCTACAAAACAACACAGCTGTTGGAAACTACCTGAAAGGAAGCACTTCCAGGACGTTGGCCAGAGGGCCACAAGAGCTGCCTGCCGCCAAGCCAGATGTTGCCCAACGGCAGGACTGTCAGAACCCAGGACACGAACTTTGTACCTGGATCACAAAGTCAGGTGTACCATGGTGAGGAAAGGGCAGAGGGGGCAGGATTCTCGAAGGAAGGCCGAGTCTCAGAGATGGGAAGCGTTACTTTCTAATTATGTATGCAAGACATTGGAATAAATTACACAAAGAAAGGTGGTGTTTCAGGTCTGGAATAGCCTCTGTAATATGCACACACACACACTTTCCCTTACTTCCGGTCACCTTGTGCATTTTTTTCTGCACGGGGTGAGTCCCCTCCTAAATTCACACAATTCCAGTTTGCCATTTCCCTGGCAGGTTTCATTGGTGTCATTCAGGGCCGGTTCCAGGATTTTGGGGGCCTAGGGCAGACAGTTCTCAGAGCCCACTCTTTTCCTCTGCCCATCACCAAGCATGTCTCCCACCTCTTGTGCCTTCTTACCCTGTCTGCTCACAAGCTGTCCCACCATCCCTGCTCACAGCTGCCTTCAGACCTCTCTCCGGTGGCAGGCCAATGCTCCCTCTTTGCTGAGGAGTCTTGTGAGCAGAAATTCTACTTTGTGAGCTACCAGCATTAAAGTTTTGAGTGAACAATTTGGCTACTGCATAAATTAGTTTGCTCTGGAGCCGTCCTTCCTGAGCTGAGACAAGAATGTGCGAGCCGGAGGCTAAAAAACTGTGAGCTATCTCACACTAACTCAGCTTCGAGGGAACACTGGCAGGGACCGTGGGTGATGCAGCGCTAGGCAGTGAGTAAGCTGGGGGTGCCAGCCAGCATCAGTGGGCCCTGCCAGAAACCATGGGCCTCAGTGGCTTCCTCACTGAAGGCTATGTTGTTGCTGGCCCAATTGTCATTCTGCTCTTTTGTAATTTTCTCTTGTTTTCTTACAAGCAGTCATTGGATCTGCTGCAGCTCGGTGTATGTGTTTTATGTAATTGTGGCTGCAATCATACGCACAATTAGACCCAATATAGGTGCGAATGTTGGGTGGATTTAAAGGGCGCAATCAGACAACAACATCTGGGAAGCGCCCCACACCTGTCGGCGCCCCACACCTGTCTGCTCCACCACAGAAGCGGAGTTAAAAGACAATTACAGAAGCGGAGTTAAAAGACACCGGGGAAACCCGGTAGTGAACAGGTTGCGACAGGCCACGGACGGACTTTCCCATGTCTGATCGCTCCAGTGCACTCTCATGGCGTCAAGATGGTCTGATCGGGCCATGTGGACTCCATGCTGTTATGTCCGCTGACCACCACTAGGCGACAGTGACTTTTACCAAGAGACAATAGGTTTATAAGATTATGCATGGGAAAGAGCAGGTAGAGAAAGAGGTACTTTTCGCCCTTTATCACAATACAAGAACTCGTGGGCACTTCATGAAATTGCTGAGCGGTCGGGTTAGGATGGATCAAAGGAAGTACTTCTACACCCAAAGAGTGATTAACACATGGAATTCACTGCCACAGGAAGTGGTGGCGGCTACAAGCATGGACGGCTTCAAAAGGGAGTTAGATAAGCATATGGAGCAGAGGTCCATCAGTGGCTATTAGCCACAAGGTATAGATAGGGGCTGTGGGGCAAGTGATGCTCTGTCTTCTTGGTGCTTGAGGGGGGTCAACAGTGGGAGGGCTTCTAATGTCCTGGCTCCACTGATGGACCTTCTGATGGCACTGGTATTTCTGGCCACTGTGTGATACAGAGTGTTGGACTGGATGGGCCTTTGACCTGATCCAACATTGGCGTCTCTTATGTTCTTATGGACTAGGATCCTGAAACCTCAAGCGGTCACTAATAGGAACCTTGGCGGGAAGTTTAAACCCACCGATGGGGCCTGTGGGAGATCCATGGGGACTGTATATAGTTGGCCATCTGACCGGTATTCTCTGTTCTGTTGTGTACAGTAAACTATGTGCTGATAATCACGCTGTTTCCTGATTCTTCAATGCATCGAACCCGCTACACAACACATGCCATTGTCCCCCCCCCCTTGCAGTATGCGCATAATCACAAACTTCATAGGGAGCCCTTGATGCGGAGGTGCGATTCATCGATCCCTCATTAAAGTGCATGGGGGGGAAAGGCACAAAAAACACACGACTGACCCACAGTTGTGTCTGATCACACACTGACGGACTGCGGCCGCAGTTTCAAAGGGAGGTGTGATCGTGCAACTGAGCATCAAAATCCCCCAGAGGAAATAGCCTTGCCCCACCCCCATTTTTTCAGGCCTGTGTGACCGCAACCTGAATCTGTTTCTGAATAGAATTGTCCTACTTAGTGGGCAGTTCTCTCCCCCCCCTTTTGTGCGGTTGCATTTTCTTAATGGCTTATTTTGATTATGGCATCTGAAAAAGTTGGATGACATTTTCAGCCTTGATTCAACCGTTGAATTGCTGGGTGGTATCTCAGGAGGAGGAGATCTGCTCCACCAATACCACTCTGATCAGGAGCCCTGCTTTTGCTTCTCCTTCAACAGGAAGCAAGCACAGTTTGCCCATAAACACACGAAAAGGGAGTTAAGGAAGAGAAGCAAATGAATCCAGGCAGAGAGCTTGCAGGTGCAGGGAAAGGAAGCCGTAAGGCTGGGGAGAGGGCGCCAAACCCAGCTCAGCTAGGTAGGGTAGGTTGCGGATGCAAACTCATTTTCATCTATTAAAGCCAAACAGCGACAACACATTTATGACACCTCTTTTCTTTGAAGTGCCTCTTTATTGGATGATGGGATTTGGGATAAGAAAAGGCACAGTTGTTTGTCAAGATGAAGTAAGCACAAAACATCAACAGGAAACATTTAAGGAAATCCCACCATTCCATGGTCGCGCTGTCCTGGGGCGCATTCATATGACCAACTGAAGCCCAAATAGAGAAGAGACATTCCAGGTGTTCGCTGTCTCTTACACTATCAGAGGCTGCTGCCACACGGGACGGCTGAAACGCGGCTAATCAGAGCCGCACCGAACTTGAGACGCCGCGGCGGGATCCCACGGATCCCCTCAGCCGCGGCGCATCACTCCCCGGCACGATCAGATGCCGGGGAGCAAGAGTCCAATGGGAGGGGGAGGCTGTCGAACTGCGCATGCTCGAGCATGCGCAGTACGGCTGGGGGCCGAGATGCGGTGGCGCAAGGACGCGCCGGCCAATCCCACGGCCCGCCTTGAGCCGCTCCAAGGGATACAACCACCTAGGTAGGTGGTGCTTTTTTGCTGCGCGGTATCGGCGTTTGTAACAGGGACGGGCAGGCAACGATTCCCAGATGTTGCCGTGGGATCGTGCCCGTTTGCTCTGCCCCCTTTCCGTCCTGCTCCCTGCCCAAAAGGCCTCGTTTGGACAGGACCAGAAGATGGGCTGGGTGAAGCTGAATCTAAGATGGATCTTTCATTCTGGATCAGGTAGACATGTTGAATTTCCCCTTGCCCCTCAGACATTACAGGACGGGAAACCCGGGAAGCAGGGTGGCCAACAGGCCTGGGGAAAAGTGTCCTGTCCCTCTAATAGAGGCTTCCTGAAGCTTTCCATGGCATCCTACCCCGATATTTGATGTGGATCAATCCAACACTAAGGAAACCAGCAAGAGACCAGTTCGAAGAGCAGCAACCCTGCCTGCAAGATTTCAGTCCACAGGAAATGGAATTGTTTGTTTACGGCACAAGAAAAAGCAGTAGGAAAATTTTTAAAG